ACAACGCACACCTTTAGCAAACAGCCAGTAAAGATTGAAAGGTCAAATCAATATTCTCTGTGTAAATCCTTTGCCTTCTCCTGCTTGCTAGAAGAGGATATCTTTTGTAGGTGCAGTTTACATGCACGGTGCAGATGCTGAATTAGTTGTCTTTACCCAAGGCATCTGCATGGGATCCTTGTTTCCCCCCCTCCTCATGTGCAATTCTCAGTTATCATCACCCCTCACCCACCCATGGCTACCCTTTGCTTTTACCAGTCAGCACATCTGACAGCATTAATCAGCGAAGTTAGCTGAAGCGAGACGTACACAGCCATGATATTCCTCACATTAGTCATAAGAAGGTAAGTAATAGTTTCAACTCCGGGTGCTGGAATGTTTATTTGTTTATTTATTTGGATCCCCATTAACTTCCCCCCCCTCTCCTCCCTCCGTGGCAGTTCCTAGTCTCCCTGGGGTCAACGATCCCAAAATACATCACAGAATCATACACCACATGAAAGCCTCCTACCCAACGGCAGCCGAAGGCATCGCTAATAAAGGCATTATCATTCTCGACACAATAGAGCGAAAACAGCAGTAATCCGAGCTCCTTCAGATACCACCGCTCATATATTAAAGCTAAGATGTATTTTTATGTGTCTCTTCAAGGTGGGGGAGAAATTTAATTCTCTCATTGTGTGTGTGTTCCATTTGGATGATGTTCTGAAAATAATAGAATCTACTGGGAGCCAGAGCAGTCTGCTTTGCATCTCAGTAACGCCGTTATCTACATCCTAAAACTACCCTGGCAGCCTCGTTCTGGACTAGTTGAAGTCTATTAAGAGCCTTCTTGTTAGCAGCAGACCATAAAACTGAGGAAAACTCGAAACGAGATAGCACTAATGAATTAATAACAGTTTTCATAACAGTAGGAGTGGAGAGAAAAAGGAACATTTCTGAGCAACCCTTTTTCTTCCTTTCTGATCTTATCAATATGCTCAGACTACAAAAGGACAGCGGTCCAGTGTGATTCCCAGTAATTTGATCTGACTGGCTTATCTAATCGAGTCCTGCACCGACTGTAGTCTGTTCCCAATTATCATGGATTTAGATATATTTAAAATCATCCTATTATTATTGTTATTCAACAAACAACTGCTCATGAGTTTTCATCCTAAGATGCAAAGAAAGAGGGGGAAAAAAAACCCCCATGCTTTCCTAACTTAATAATAAGTAATGACTGTCCTCTGAAAGGTTCGACTGTGTCTGTGTTGTGAGCAATGGATATGAGCTGCACACTGGCTTAATGCAACAGTGATTCGATAAAATACAGCAGACAAAGCTCCGTGGCCCGGGGAGGTCTCCATTTAAGGGTACAGGAGGAGAGACGCTGCAACATTATCTTGCATGCTACTTGCAAAGTCAAAAAAAAAAAATGTTTTCCAAGCTGACTTTCAAAGAAAACTCTTTTCCCAGAGCAGTGCAAAAAAAAAAAAAAAACACATAGAAGTGTTTGCCCCAATCTTTAAAATGTAGGTCAATACAACTTGTGTTTTATTCCACCCTAAGACACACACCTGCATCTCCACACAAGCTCCTAAGAAGCACAGCAGAAGGCAGCAACACAACACACCAGCAAATGTTCCCAAGCAAACTCCTGGGTGGATGCTGATTAAATACATACAAATATGCAAGTCATCCTGATATTGATGAAATGTGAATAATCTTTGGATTTCGTGTCATGTGCACTAATTCCCAGCTGGCCAGATGTTTGATGAGCTCACTGGGACAGATGTTTCCAGGGTGTAAGTGAGGGTTTGCATTATGCATACATTCTCATTTTTCCACCACCTGGCTGCACAGATTTCGCCAAACTTTTATGTCGCTGTTTTTCATGCAGCCATTCATGAAAATCCCAGGAGGAGAGAGATAGAGAGAGAGAGGAGATATGTGGCTTTTATTTTCCTGTGCTGAGACGATGCGGCTGAATCTGCTGCAGGACCATGGACAGCACCTCGGCCACCTCATGCTAATGCGAGCTTGACTTTCCTGGAAAGTTTTGCTAAAGATTAAACTAACTTGATGTGTTTCCTACTTATAAGAAACTTACAAAACTGTCCAAACAATGCAGCTCATTACATCAATAACTGATTCCCAGCATAAAATGTGCACCAAGATGGAGAGAAGCTGTACTTAATAAGGTGGCTTCCAATAAGATCCCTTCTGTTTAGGATACAGTTTTGTGAAATGTGCTCGGATATACTGAAATTCCATCTTTAATGTACTATATTCTGATATGCATTTTTTATTAGATCTCAGGAAGAAACCTAAAAAATGCTTACCTGCACAGTAAACAAGTTTTCTAGCCTCTGGGTTTGCCTCAGTGTGCACCCCAGTGCACCTGCACAGAAGTGTTTCCCCAGCTGTGCTCTGGTAAAGCCTGTGGTCTGAGTGGAAGAGCCTGTGCTGTTCGACTACACTTTACATTAAGACTGTGTCGCACAGTTATAGAAAAAAAATCCTTCTTTTTAGGCTCTGGAATGCAAAGGTTTGCAACTATACAACCCCAATGGGTTTAAAATCCATAATACAAAGAATAGTAACTTATCTTTTTTTGCAGTTTGAGGTGTCAACAGTTTCACAGATGCCCCTTTTTATTGGACATTTCTGGGGAATGTGCTTTTGGGCCACAGGAGAGTTCTGTCACAGTAACACAAGTGAGCACTCGGACAAACTGGCAGTAAAGCCAAGTCACAATGCTGGATTCAGCTCTAAATATATCCATGTTTGTCTCTACAATTCAGCAGTTTTCATGTTAACCAGCAACAGTGAACACAACAGACACACACACAGTAGAGCATTATGAACCCAATCCTACAATTGCCACCGGGTTTTCAGTAACTGTTGTGTAAACACAGTTTGGGTAAAGACGGCAGGTGTTTGAAGGTTTCAGCCCCATGTGCTGAAAGTACATCTGACCTGGTGTTCACCATCACCTGAGTTTATGGGTTCAGCACCTTGGACAGCAACCTTAAGAAGCTGATGAGAGTCAAATGCTTGAAATGACTCAAAATGACTCTAAACAAGGGGCTGAAAAGTGGAGCGGTGGTTAGCATCATTGCCTCGCAGCAAGACGGTTGCCAGTTCGCGTCCCGGTGACGACACCCGGGATCTTTCTGTGTGAAGTTTGCATGTTCTCCCCGTGCAGTGTGGGTTCTCTCTGGGTTCTCTGGGTTCCTCCCACGAGGTCCAAAAACATGTTGAGGTTAATTGGTGATTCTAAATTGTCTGTAGGTGTGAATGTGAGTGTGCTTGGTTGTCTGCCTCTAAGTGTAGCCCTGTGATAGACTGGTGACCTGTCCAGGGTGTCCCCTGCCTTCACCCTGGGATAGATTCCAGCCTCCCACAACCCTAGTGAGGATTAAGCGTTGTATAGATAATGGATGGATGGACATCTAAACAAGTGTTTTTAGTTATTTTAATCAAACAAACCTCTCAGATAAAGGCTGCGGTCACCAAACACTGCATACTAAGGTGTAATTTTGTAGTTTCACCCAAACCAACAGTCAAGTGCACCCTGTACAAACCCACATACTACTGCCACAGCATAACATATATGCCAGTTATTCTCTGTCAGTGTGCCCCAGGGCAGCTGTGGCTACAATCCTAGCTAACCACAACCGCAATGAATGTGTGTGAATGAATAATTGACTGTTAAGCGTCTCTGAGTGCCGGAAAAGCGCTCCATAAATCTGATCAATTATTATTATTAATACTATGCCTCTGTAAATCTATTATTTACTCAGCTTGTTTATTCCAAGTGACTAAGAAATCCCGAAGCATTACTACTAAAGAAACAGCTCTCTATTTTGAGGAATAAGCCTTGCTGTCTTGCAAAGGGTTCATTCAATGCAGAGCTCCATCAAGCTGCCAATTAGCTTCCTATGAACGAGGGAACAACTACTCTGGCTCTGTTCGAGGTTTACAACATTTGCCAATCAGCAGTGACAAACAAATTCCAGCACAAACCTCAGCTGTAAGCACAACTATAGCTTTCACACTTGCTTCATGAAATGTGATGAGAATTGGTGAGCTGGCCAAGAAGGGAAATAAGCCTATTTTCCATCCCGATGCTTCACTTCCTTTTTAAAAAATAATTAGTCACCAACTTACTTAAAAGCTTAAGATACATATTTAAATCAGTGGATGCATGTAGAATATTAATGCTTAAGTAGGAGCAGTGACATAATACATTGGTTACTCTTGGCTTCCAACCAGATTCATTTTACGCGCAGGAACTTTTGGCGCATTTGGAGACGCTTGTAATTTACTAATACAAGTAGTTGCTTTTTTTAAGGGTTAACATGTTTTTTTCATGAGTGCACTGACAAAACAGAGCTGTTTTAGTCTATATTTTACTAAAAGTGCAGTATGGAGATGGAGAGGGGGAAATGGCTCTTCTTTTTTTTTTTTTTTTCTTGTTTCCTTTTTTTCACACGGGGCAGCATATTGTGCGCACATTCTGATGATGCTCAGTGGCGCTGCACAAGGCTGGGACTTATCCATACCCGAGGCAGAGAGGGAACTAAGCCCCCTGGGAGCAACGTCACTCCCCTTGGCATATTACCCACTGTCCACTGTATGCGCCCAACACACCACGACAGAGGACGCCAGGATCGCAGCCATCCTCAACTCAACGCGAAATGCTCCGCGAAGTGAATCGAACTCAAGCAATCCTCCCCCGATTCCGTGCGTCTCGGCGAGGAGGCATTCACATGTTCCGGCATACGAGCGGGATAAATAACTCCTCGGCGAAGTAGGAAGGTCATTTAAAGTGGAAAGAGTGCTCGCGTCGGGCACGGTGCGTGGGTAAATTTCAAAAAAAAAAAAAGGGAAAAAAGAAGGAAGGAAGGAAACATCTCAGAAGAAGCCAATTATTTGTAACTTCGGGATTTACTTGTTAAAAAAAAAAAAAGGCGCTTCTGTTTGAGGATCGTGGAATATCTGTGTGTGTAAACATGCCTGTGAGAAGAGGTCACGTTGCGCCACAAAACACATTCCTTGGAATAATTATTCGGAAATTCGAGGGTCAGAGTGAGTATCTTCTTCTTCTTCTTGTTCTAATTCTGCTACCAGATCAGGAAAGTAAATGTTCCTTTTTTTTAACAAATGAACACTTGGGATAAAGATGAGTGAGTGAATGTAATTTCATCTTCTGATTAAGTTGTTCATTTAGGATAACCTTGTTTCATAAAATGACCAATCAGACAAGCTGAGGTGTTTAGTTTTTGGCTTTTCTAAGACCATCCCTGAAGATGTTGTGATCTTAATTAGATGTGTGCCATCATGGTGCACATGTGCCACATCCAAACTCTACATTATCTCCTCTTTCCACGCAGACCGGAAATTTGTGATCGCCAACGCCAGGGTGGAGAACTGTGCAATCATCTACTGCAACGATGGCTTCTGCGAGATGACGGGCTTCTCCAGACCGGACATCATGCAGAAGCCGTGCACCTGCGACTTCCTCCACGGCGACCTGACGGACAAAGAGGCCATCAGCCAGGTGGCGCAGGCGGTGATGGGCTCAGAGGAGCGCAAGGTGGAGATCACCTACTACCGCAAGGATGGTGAGTAACTGACCTGGTACAAGAGCGCAGACTGCCACAGCGAGCCCCTCCCCAGTAAGCCGAGAGGTGTCTTTTGTGACGCGTTGCTTCTGAGAGATCACCCGCTGAGGCTTCTCATTGTGTTCCACCTCATGATGTGGCCTGTCAGTTGGTTACTAACCAGCCAGAGTCAGTTACAAGATGTACAAGAGGGTAACAGCAAGGGCAGTCAGCTCTAAAATAACTCTGTCCTGTAACTTTATGCTGGAGTTGTTCATGCGCCGCTGTGTCAAAGTAAACGGATAACTTTGATCCTCCACCAGATGAGTCCACCAGAGGGTTGTTGTGAAGCGAGACACAAAAAACCACAAAGAATAGCTGCTTTAATTAAAAATAATCATACAGTAGAAGCCTTTTTGATGTGCTTTTAGTGCTGCTGCAGTGTGAGGATGGTCGTTGGATGCATGCATGCAAGTGTGAGCAATACAACGGCTCCATGTGTGGACATGTGGAGCAAAAAAAAACTGTTGTAGAATGACAACACGTGTATGTTTTTTGCAGCAAGCGGCAGAAAATAGTCCCAGAGTTATATTTAACATGTATGATAGAATAAGCTACAGATGGGGATCAAACAGAAGCTTCTATATGATGTGTCACGCAGTTTTTATGCTTTGCTGGGCTGAGAGAAACATGGAGACACCGCTCACCTGCTGCCCTGTAACCAATATGATGTTTTCTGACTCCACGTTTAGAAATCAATGCTTGTTATGCATTACATGTTTCAAGTACAAAACGCTGACTGTGTCTATAACATTTAGTCTTCTTGTTTGTTTTAAGCGTGGCTGTGCTTTGGTAATCTGTCTTTTCACTGACCTGTACGAATTGCTGCACACGTGAAAGGTTACGGCTCAGCATGACAGCGCTCCCCCCCCTTCTTCAATGGTACACTGGTATTTGTCATTCACTTTCCCAGTCCTGTTATGAATGGTGTGCTGCAGCAGCCCTGAGTCAGAGGGAGTTAATACGATGCTACCACTCGGTGACATAAATCCGCAGATTGACCACCTCCTGCCATGCTCTCACATGAGCTTTTTATGGTCAGCATGATATAGCCGTCAGCCCAAGCCAAGGTTACCCCTCTTGCAGAGCTTCCAGAGCGTGTTTTTACTTTTCTTTTTTAAATTTTGCAGGACTTTTTTCAGTGTTTGAAGTCTTTACTTTGTGGTAACTTCCAAGGCAGCAGTATTGTATATGAGAAATATAAGCTGGGAAAAGAGGTAATATTTTATTTAATCATAAGGAGCAAGGGCTTTAATTTTTAATTGTGAGTTTGATTAGATTCTAGGCCATGGATACATGTTTAATCTACCATCAGCAGCCATCAGCTTGCGTTTCTTTTTTCTTTTTTTTTTTTTGTGCTAATCATGAACACACCAAGAGCCAGCTGCTACATGGCTAAAATAGATTGTTACAGAAACCTGCAAGACAATCACACAACACACTGCGGGGCTTGTTTTTGCACAAACAGCCAATGACAAGTAGGATTTTTCAAGCAACTTCATCCCCTTTCCCCATCCTCCCATTTTTACATACATGTTTTTTTTTTTTGCGCCTCGTCTAAACGCCTGTAATATCCGAAGCGAGGCGGATGATAGCTGCAGAAAACCTTCCAACGTAATCGTCGCTCCCAGTCTCCTCGCAATCCTTCCCCGGTGTGCATCGCGGCTTCAAGACACAACTCTTAATACTCCTCAGAGGAATTTATAGTGAGCATGTGTGCTCATGAATAAAGATGTCAGGGCTGACAGTGCAGTGACTGGGAATGAGCAGCTTACAGAGTAAATGCATTAAACTGGTATGGAGGACACAACTCACACGCTCCCCACCGCTATAGGGGAATGAAAGATTCATGCCATCCTTGAGAGCAATAACCCTATTGATTCTAGACGAGCTACAAATTGAAGTTGATGTGTGGAAAGTGGTCATATTCTATGTCTCCTCTCCCGACTGTATTTCAAGTTATCAGTCCTAATGCAAATCAGTTAATCCTTTGTACTAAAACCCTCCATTTTGCAAGCACCTACTGTATTCCACAAAAACATACACAAAGTAAACCAGCCTGGGCTCAGACAGGTTACCAGGATTCTATTTCCATCTCTGTTCTTTTCAGTTAAACATGTGCCTTAAATATCAGCGTTTAGATGAACGGAAATAGTCTGGGAAATCTTAAAAAAGTCAGATTTGGATTTGGGGGGGAAAAAAAGCATCAGGAGCAACAAAGCTTTCACTCTTTTCACTGAAAAGGCAAAAAGTTAAGCTGTTTATGTGCACGCTTAGAAATTAAAAGTAGTGGAACAATAGCGGGAGCACGGCAAAGGCCTTTGGCACGAGGCTGTTTTCATTTAATTTTTTTTGTGTTGCCTCTAATGTGAACAACCAAGACGGGTTGTGAGAGGAGATACCACACATGCAGCCTTCCTCCAGCTATGGTACATAATCAATGAGATAAATGCTTTCCCTTGATGGCTTTGTAAAGCTATCCTATTCCACGGGGTGTAATAATACTTTGTACCTGAATGAGTCTTAACAAAAGGAAGCTGACACCGTGGAGCAGAGAGAAGTTAAATGGATAATGGCTACATAACAGCGGCAGCTTAGCTAACCGTGCTGAATGATCTGAGACATGTGGTATGCGTGGGTGCTGGGTTTCATAGGTGACTCCCCACCAAGGGGACTGAAGGGCCATCTACCCCTGCTGAGGGTTTTTAGTGGCAGGGGGGAGCGAGGGGAAGGCAGAACGGTACACAAGGTGTGCTGCAGAACACTTGGATGACTACCCTCCAAAGAGCACATCCATTTTTCATCGGCCCTCTTTGGTGTCCTGCAGTATGAGGTTAGAGTGAAATCAGATTGTCCGAGCAGATGTATCAAATTGTACTGTGTATTAAGTACTACGAAAAGTTTGGATTGCATGCTAATAACTTAAGATAATTACAAGCAGATCGAATGAATATCAGCTCCGTTACTGGAAATGTGTTGAAATAGCTTGCTAGCATCCCATAATCACCAGTTTATTGGAGGAGCTCATTTCTTGGTCTCAGTTATTGTTCGCTTACTGTATGTTCGCTTCACCATGGAGCGCATACGGTCTGTGAACATTTGTGCTAAATTAAACAGAATAAAAGATCGCGGAGCAAAATATCACGAATTGATAAACACAAATAAAATGCTCTTTGAGCCGGAGCTGCTAGTTATCCCTGATGGCTCTGAAGACACTGATTGAAGATGAAATTAGGCCAGGCTGCGTAGCTCACAGCACTCTCACTGAGGCGAGATATAGCCACAAGGCCCAAGGACTCTAAACAAAGGGTTAGCTTGCATGGCCTCTCCCTATGCCATAATCCTGACGGGCTATGCCCCAGCGATGTTGTGTATTGGCTTAAGCAGAATAGCCTTAAAAGAGAAACATGTCAGATTTCATTATACAAGACGTACTACCAGGCGGTGGTTGCAGGGCTATGTTTAAGAGCTGCAGTTGTGGATAGTACATTGGTAGGAAGATATAAAAACAAAAATCAGCTTTCGACAATACTACTCGTGTTTCTTCCTAAAGCAGATCAGCTTATGCAGATTAATACGGGGCCTTTATACATCAAAATCGAAAAAGCAAATGAGAAAAAGCTTCTCTTTTTGAAATAAGATTTAAAGAAAAAAAAAATGTATAGAGCTCCAGCATACGGACATAAACACAAGCGCGTGTTTACGTGTCTTTAAGGCATCTTACGGTTTCACTGCAACTCTGTTTGACCTGTGAGTCATCATTGTAATAGTGTCCAACGGATCTCTTGATTAAGCAGCAATGTTTTAATAATTCATGATGGAAATAGAATCTTCAGTAATGAAATTTCCATCATGAAAAGGGAGCTAGTCTTAATACATTGTCCATTTATTCAAGCAGGTGTAAATAACATTTCTTGGCTCACAGGGAAACACTCTGTATAAAGGTCAGGGAATGAATGAACATTCACTCCCTCGCTGGTACAAACTGCTCTCTTGCAGCTATGGCCATGCTTGGATAGTACCCATTATGTTGTGCTGAGTTGAGTGTTGGAGAAAAATAGGAAGGTCGAACCGCCTGAAACCTAAACAGTCAGCAGTCTTCAGTGGGTTCACGTACTCCGCACTTCAGCTGGCGTGTATATATATATTTGCCAGGGTCAGAAGTTAATCATGTCAAATGTAAATATAAAGATGAAGGAGAGAGTAATCCAAAGCACTTGCTACAGGCAGGGGATGCTATAAGCAATGCAACTTAAGAAAACACATGCAAATGGACAAAAAAAATGAATAAAACATCTTTACTGTTCTGACAGCACGCAGCGAATTTAAGAAAATAATGTGCGGTGAATATATAAAACATATGCCAATTAGAAGACACAAGTGGAATCCCTGCAAATTATGCAGAACTCAGACGCTTCCGGTGACAATAAAAACAGACGTACAAAACAAAACAAAACTGAGCTATAACTATATAATGCTTCGAGGAGGCTACTAAAAATGATGCTAAACAGTAAAAGTCAAACATATTATCTGGCCAACTAATATCAGAATCACTCAATAACGTAAACATGACATGTTTCACCTCATTCTAATGTTATCAGCACAACCATCGTATATTATTCCCATACAGCTTTCTATTACGCTCAGCGGGCCAATGATCATCCATTCTGATTATTAAACAGAAAGTAAAGGTCAGTTCATGGTTTCTGCATGACTGATACGGACCTGAACAGCAGACAGTGGATGCACATGCAGCTCCCTTCATATTATTCATACTTTGCCTGCCACGACAAACACGGAAAAACAAACAGGGCTGCCGTGGATGTCTCTGAAAGGCTGGCTGTGACTTTGCAGTTTGTTTTTTGCAGGGCAGCGAGCAGCAGCTAGTTACAGGTTGGGCTGTTGAACCGTGATCATTCCCAAGGTATGCCAAGTGCAGGAGGCGGACGTAGCACAGGATA